AAGCATTTGAATAAGAGTAAGAAAAATGGAGCAACAGAGTTTTTTAAAAGATGAAGGAAAGAAGATAGGTTTAAAAAAAAAAAGACCATGGGCAAAGGACCTGAACAGACACTTCTCCAAGAGGAGAAGCCATAAGAGGAGCCATAGGCATATGAAAGGATGCTCAACATCACTAGCCATCAGAAAGACACAAATGAAAACCACAATGAGATACCACTCCACACTGGTCAGAATGGCCATCATAAATCAACAAACTGTAAGTGCTGGAGAGGTTGTGGAGAAAAGGGAAACCTAGTACACTGTATTGCGAATGCAGACTAGTGTAGCCACTATGAAAAACAGCATTGAATTTCCTCAAAAGACTAAAAATGGAACTGTCTTTTCACTCAGCAACTCCACTGCTGGGATTATATTGTAAGAATCCTGAAACACCAATTCAAAAGAACCTATGCACCCCAATGTTCATAGCAGCATTATTTACAATAACCAAATGCTGGAAACAGCTTAAGTGACCATCAGTAAGTGAGCAGATCAAAAAACTGTGGTACATTTACACAATGGATACTACATAGCAGAAAGAAAGAAGGAACTCCTACCTTTCATGACAGCATGGAAGGAACTAGAGAGCATCATGCTAAGTGAAATAAGCCAGGAGGTAAAAAAACAAATACCATATGATCTCACCTATAAGAGGAACCTAGTGAACAACACAAACAAATGAGCAAAAGAGAATGAGAGGCATGAAAACAAGAAACAGACTGGCAGCAACCTGAGGGCATGGCGGAGAGGGGAAAGGTCTAGTTAAGGAACAAGTGTAAATGACCCATGGCCATGAACAGGGTGGGGACTGACTGTGGGTGGGGGGGGTGGCCAGGGGAGAGCAACAGAGGGGAAATTTGGACAACTGTTATGGGACAACAATTTTTAAAAAGTATATTAGAAAGAAAAATACCATATGATTTCAATCATACATGTAATCAAATGAACAAACTGAACAATGAAAATGGAGACACACTCATAGATGGAGAGCAGATGAGAACTAGTTGCGGGGGTAGGTCAGTGGGTGGAAGGTTTGAGCAAAAAGGAAAATGGACTCATGGACATGGACAACAGTGTGGTGATTTCTCAGGGGAGGATGGTATAAGGGGACTAAATGGTAATGTAAAAAAAAAATACAATTAAGATTGAATTAAAAAACAAAAACAAAAACAAAAACAATGTCCTCTCAGTATGGTCCATCCATATTAGAGAAAGGATTATACAGATACATTCAGCTTTTCTAACAGATTTTCATTCTCTGAGGCTTCAATACCCCTCTCACACTCACTCAGATAATCACATTAGTTTTGTCATTAAAAGCTCCCTTTTCATAGAATGCACCTAAACCACTTAAAACCACCCAGAGAGGTCACATACATTACCAAACCAAGACAAACGGAAGAGATTTTCCACTTTATATCTTATTATTTCACAACATCTATCTGCATCATCAGAACGCTAAGCAAAAAGATTTGGTGAGTTATCAGCTTAAAAAAAAATGACTCCAAAATAAATAAACTCTGCAGTATCCTTTAAGACTGCTCTTTAAGCTGAGAAGAGACCAGTAGTTTTATGCTAAGAGAGCAGTCCACTGACAGAGGTGTTTCCTATTTCCCTTTTCTGTTCTTCCATGTGTTCTATCAGCCAAGTCCATGATTACTTCTGCATGAATGTTGCAGCTGCTGTTAACAGTAAACAAAGCAAATGGAGTCTCAGTGTGCAAAACCCAATGACAAATTAAAGAAAAGGATACTTGAGCTGACACAAAAACATGGCATTCAATCACTGCCTATGGATCCTTCAGAACATTACAAGGTCCAGACAGAACTGGAAAGTGCTTTTCACCATAACCCAACTGTTGTTTATTATCTCACCATCCTATGTCAGAGTGGAATATAAAACTCAAACTCATAGACACAGACAACAGTGTGGCAGTTACCAGAGGGAAGGGTGGGAAGTTAGTAAAGAGTAAAGAGGGCCAAGTATATGGTGATGGAAGATGATTTGACTTTAGGTGGTGGTCACACAGTGCAATACACAGATCAAGTATCACAGAAGTATACACTTGAAACCTATATAATCATATTAATCAATGTTACCCCAATAAACTTAATATAAAAAATAAAATGGAAGTTTTAAAATAAAAAGGAACAGAACAGCTGTTTGTCAGCCCTTTAAAAAAGGAGGAAGTGTATCAGAGGGAGGAAAAGTCCTGGTTAAATGGAACTATCCAAGTGAAAGAGAAGTCCCCAACTGGGTAGTGTTCTAGAGATTAGTTCGTTGAGAAAACAGAATGGGGGTCAATAAAGGAGAAACAGAATGAACAGTAAAAGACAGTGGTCTGAACCCAGAAGTCTCGGAGGGAGACATTTAGTAGAAAAATTCTAAAATCAAATAGGATAAAACTGAAGACTGATCTGGCCAATCAATGTTTCTTAAGTAAGGCAAAGAGAAAAGATTATTTTTGGTGGGGTACAGCCAAGAAACAGAATTATAAATATATCATAAACAATCAAAAATTCCTTAATCTATCAAAAGGATAAAGTCAGTAAGAAATAATTAAGGAAGTGACAAGAACTAGTCCTAGATTAAAAAAAAAGGTGATTGTGGGACAGACACAAAGTTATCTTGTCTTAAAAATGAACTTTTATAATGCATATATACAGAAGGTAAAAAATAGACTGTGCTAAATCAAAAACAGGTGACTAAATATTTGAGATATACTCCAGTCACTTTGAGTGATTATTTAAGAGAGACAAAAATGGAATATTTATTTACATTTAAGACTCAACAGAAAAGTATCTTAAAAGGAACATTAAAGAAATTGGGGAAAAAAACAAAGTGAGACTGTCCATTGTTCCAAATCATAAACAAATGAATACTGAAAAGCTATATTCTTCTAGCTTTTTTTCTAAATCAGGGTTGGCAAACTACAGTCCCTAGCCAAATCCAGCCTCCTGCCTGTTTTATAACTAAGCATTATTGGAACACAGTCATCCTCATTCATTTATACATTATTTATGCCTATTTTCTACTCCTTTCTTAACCATACCTTCAGACTTCAGTATCTGTGACACAAACGATATGGCCCACAAAGCCTAAAATATTTACTATCTAGTCCTTTACAGATAGTTTGTCAAACTCTCTTCTAAAAAACAAGAGAATTCCCCTTGTTTTTACCATCTCACAATTCATTTGTTCTCAGGTGGGCAAAGATGCACATATAATTCTTACTATGTATACAGAGGACAGAATTAAATCTGATAACTGTCACAATGTGGCCAGCAATCCACCGAAACTTTAGACAGTCTTGTCCTACCCCAGTGCAATGTGGTAGATCATAGACTCAGAACAGTGGTAGGCCTGAGTTCAATTCTACATCCTCACCTCTTTGCTGAGCTTAAATTTCCTCTCCATAAAAATGGGATTATACCTCCATTCTCATAATATTTTTGTGGGGATTAAATAAGATAGTGTCTATGAAAGTACTTTGTAAATAATAAAATAATATAAAAGGATAATGCATTATTAGTACACAGACATATGTAAAGACAAATTGGTTCAGATTTAGTTTTTCTCACTATTTTGATTCAGGTTTTCTTACCATGAGAGAGATCTGCTCTTTTAAATAACTTTGTATTATCAAAATTCAATTTAATTCAAGACACACTGACCTCTGGCATGCTACATGCAAGACACCCACTGGTCATTATACTTTTTAAAGGAAGAAAAATATCTCTAATAGCAAATGACCTTGTTCCATTCGGGTTACAAAGTTTTAAGCAAGGTGTGCTTTCAATAGTTCAAAGGGACAGTTACAGTAAAAGTGCTTTTGAAACCTGGTTCTTGTATTATCAATTCTGTTTATATTTCCAGCACTCATTCTAGCTATAGATCAGGTATATTCTCTAAATTTAATAACCACCAAATTGGCCAGCCTTTGTTCTTAAAACTAAGAGGAGTATTCTTTACAAAGGAATATTTTAAGAGCACACACAAAAAAACAGAAGAGCATGTATAACAAATTTTAGTACAAAAGAACCCTAAAATTTATGGTGTAATGTGTCTTTACACTTTCCAGAGTGTATTCACATCCAATATTTTATCTAATCCTAGTGCAACCTTAAGGAGAATGTAAGTATCAGTATTCCATTCTGCAGAGGAAGACATAAAGGCTCAGGAGGAAGACAGCCTTGCCCAGATCACACCACTGATGAATGGTAAAAGGACCTAGAGGCAGTGCTCTTTCCACTCCATGCTGCTGTACGTGGATGACCCTTTATGACACATGTACAATACAGAAGCTGTTGCCTGAATCACAGTGCTATGATAGCAGCTGCCACTCATTAAACACTGACTGTGTATTACATAGATCTACATATCTCACATACATCACAAAGATTAAATAAACTGAATATGCAAAAAACATAGCCTAGAACTTGACGTATGGTAATTAGTCCATTAATAGCAACTATTTGCCTTATTTCCAATTCATATTACTATAACCTCTGCATTTTTTAAAAGATTTTATTTATTTTTAGAGAAGGGAGGGAGAAAGAGGTGGAGAGAAACATCCAAGTGCAAGTGATATAAATCAATTGGTTGCCTCTCATGCACCCCCAGCTGGGGACTTGGCCTGCAACCCAGGCCTATGCCCTGACTGGAAATCGAACATGCGACCTTTTGGTTCGCAAGCCAGCACTCAATCCATTGAGCCACAACAGCCAGGGATAACCTATGCATTTTATCTCCATTATTTAAATAAAGAAACTGAGGTTTGGAAAAGGTAGGTAACCTGTCCAAGGTTGAGTAACCAGAAAGTGTTAGAAGTCAAGATTCCTGCCTAGATTTGACTAATTCTTTGTCTCTGGGATTCATCTGATGTTGAAAGGCACAGAATTCATGCACACAAAAATGAAAAGTATGTTATTAAAAGTGATTAAAAAACATTTTCTTGTTACCTTGATTGGCCACGCAGGCAAAGGCTGTAAAAAGTCAGACTCATAAGGGTAGTCCACCATTGCCAGATTTACCCAGGTTTCAGAGATCCAATCTTTCAAACGCTGAACATCCTGAGAATTTGTTAATGGAGTACATAAGTGAAGAGCTTCAGAAAGCCAATGCAAGCCAGTACCTAAGAATAAAATCACAATGTTGACATCTAAAAAACACTGCATAACATAAGCTTTCATAGATTCTTCACCCGATATTTTAGAAAATTCAATCTTCTATACCATTTCTCCAAAAATACTTTTTCAACATCAGTAAGATATTTTTAGAACAACTGGATAATCCTTGATAGATAAGCTGCCTATCCTCATGGAGCTTACCAGAATTTATATTCTGAATTATTCCGTTTTATACATACTATTTAAATAAATAAATAAATAAATAAAGCGCTGTAAAGCAATGAATGAAAAGGTACAAACTACAACTGAATAAAACAAACGGATGTATCTGACAAATACACATTGAGCAAAAGACAGCAGATACAAAACTACATAGTACACAATTTCAATGACTAAAAAATCAACAGCAAGTATAATTAATTGATGGTTTTAGAAGTCAGAACAATGATTAGTCTGGGAAATGCTGAAGCAGCGAGTGAAAAGGGCACAAGGGGATTTCTTGACTAGATAGTGATTACACTACACACTTGCATTGTGAAAATTCATCAAACTATGCATTTTGATCTGTGTATTTTTCTGAGTGTTATATTTAAATATGTATGTCATACTCAAATAAAACATTTATAGAAAAAGTGGGAAATACTGAATCTGACAAGTGAAAGACTGAAAAAAATCATGATTCCATTCTCTTAATTAAAGCTCACCAGTTCTTGTGAGTCGATTAATGGCATCCCAGGAACTGCGGATGCTCTCGGAACAATTTGGGCCACTTTTCCTAAAATCTGTAGTTACAATTTCCATAAATACACCACATGGTACTATATCCTCAAATTGCCAGATAGGGGCAGAGGCTGCAAGAGCTCTAAATGGTAATAAAACAAGGAAAGAGAAAAGGAAAAAAAATGTAACTCATCAAAATCAAGTTTTAAAATTGACACTGATATTGAACAAAAATGATGATAAAATAATTAATAGCTGTTAATGAGATAGAAACTAGAAATCTCAGTATAATAGATGGAACATGTTTTACCCAAAATAAATCTCTAGGTTTGCCTTGACAACCATTTAGAAGTTCTCATGTCCAACATAAATGCATTTATTTACCCAACCACCATGTGAGGATACTTCATCCTGAACCAGGCTGCGAGCATGCCTCCGTAAGAGCCCCCCAGTGCAATCACAGGTTGGTTTTCAGCTCCTGGGATTGTCCTTTTCAAGTGTTTGATTAACTCTGCAAAATCAGCCAGAGCTTGTTCTGATGTCAGAAAATTCAAGTGTCTGGAATCCTAAAAAATAAATAAATAAATAACAAAGAACATGGGTATGAGTATGCACATAATAGTAGCTTAGGCATAGTGTAGATCCTAAAAAAATGCCAAATTCAGATAAATTTTCTCCAAATAGAATTTCTAGTCAATTGAGTTAAAATGTCTGGTCAAAGCCACAGCAATGCTGATTTAAAGTGATTTTAAGTTTGTGGAAAGAACATAATGTATTTTGCATTCAAATACAATTTCTATTAAATGCTATTTACCAAAGACCTTGTTGAGGTTGTAGAAACAATAAACTGTAAATAACATATAACAGCAAATGTAACGAGATACAATGCTAAGCTTAACAGATAACTGATGTATTATAACTTTTATTTCAAATCTGCAAACATTTAAAATGGCTAACACACAGGCAAAGGTAAGCTACATCCTGTGGAAAATTGAAGTAAAAATAGCCAGCAAAAATAAAATTCACTCTATCAGAAAAATTACTCTGTCTGATATACCAACAACTGAAAAAAATTAGGATGTCTGTTGTAAACAACTATAAAATTAGAGTAAAAACAAAGAAAGAAAAAAAAAAAAAACCCTAGCCCTGGCTGGTGTAGCTCGGTAGATTGAGCGTGGGCTGGGAACCAAAGTGTCACAGGTTCGATTCCCAGTCAGGCCACATACCTGGGTTGCAGGCCACGGCCCCCAGCAACTGCACATTGATATTTCTCTCTCTCTCTTTCTCCCTCCCTTCCCTCTCTAAAAATAAATAAATAAAATCTTAAAAAAAAAAACTTTCACATCCTTTAACAAAAAAACAAAAAAAACCCTGGCTAGTTTTTTTAGCTCAGTGGATTGAATACGGGCCTGTGAACCAAAGTGTCGCTGGTTTGATTCCCAGTCAGGGCACATGCCTGGGTTGCAGGCAAGAGGCAACCACACATTGATGTTTGTCTCCCTTTCTCCATCCTTTCTCCTCTCCCTAAAAATAAATAAATAAAATCTTAAAAATAAAATAAAAAAACAACCTAAGGAGCAACTATTTTTAGGCATCATAAAACAACACGAGACACAGACAGCTCAGAGAAGGACACTCATAAAGTAAGTTCCATGATCATCTAGGTCTCTGCCCAGGGGCAATTTTCCCACTGAAGTATAGGGAGGTGAAGCTCAAACAGAGTCTTGCTAAGCTAGGGAGACCAATGAGGTATCTTCCCTTTATAAGGTAAAGCCTAATTCCTCTATTTTTGAACTTGGGCTATACTTATTGCTTCTTACAAATAGAATGTGACAGAAATGCTTTGTGACTTCCAATCTTAGGTCATAAAAAGCACAGTAGTTTCACCTTGCTCTTCCCATTGTCAACTTTGAGGGAAGCTAGTCACCATGTCATGAGGCCACTCAAGTAGGCCTTTGTAGAAACCCAGGGGGGAGACAAGCTGAAGCCTCTCACTAACATCCAGTACTAGTCTGTCACTTATGTGGACCCTCCATGAGAGGAGAGGGGCCTCCTGCCCCAGGCAAGTCTTCGGATGACTACACCACCAGCTGACTTCTTAATTTCACAAGACCCCCTGAAATAAAACCACCTAGCTGAGTCACTCTTAATTCCTGTGAGATAATAAACGTTCAGTGTTGTTTTAAGCCACCAAGTTGTGAGGAAATAGGTACATAGTAACTGATAACTGCTATGGCTATATACCTCTATTAGGCTATCCTATTTGGCCTTCATGCTTTGGTCTGGCCACCGTGTTTGACTCCTCCCATCATTTGGCACATTGGATCACATAGCTCCCATCGTTCCTGTGTGTCAGCTTCTCCTTCAGCCTTCTGACTTCTTACCTCCCCTCTCACTGTCTGTCACTGTTCCTCCCTTTGTTTTCATGGCACTTGTATACTTCAGTGAACACTTTTTTTCCAATTCTGGCATAATATTTGTAATATCCCCTAGGTGGCTGATGAATTTGTTATCACACAAAGAGAAGAAGTTTAACACAGAGAGCTCTTAGCTCCATTTTGTTAACAAAGTATGAACCATAGGGACCTAAGAGAGGAGGTTATGTTTCTATCTACCACAAGCTGACTACTTCCCAGTGGTTTCAGGACTTGACATCTCCCCAATCAGATAATTATGCAAATGAGTTAAACAACAGATTTTCCTATATAGCCCAACAAATATGAACAAGTTGTTCTCCTTTTCATCTATAACATAAGAACTTTTCATTTATTTATAATACAAGATAATAAAGCCTCAGAGAGCAAAAATTTTAAAAATTTTAAAACAGGCAGCTGAAAAAAATAATTGACCCCAAGAACTTCTAACTCAGAGTTTCCCAAAAACATGGTATGTGTATACTGGTGGTATGTATAATGTTCTTAGGTACTATACATTTTTAATTTAATGTGTTTTAATATAATTTAGAAAAAAATAACCAAAACATGAAACCCTTGTTAAGGTAGTGCTAAGTTTGTAAAGTGAGCTGTTTAAAGAAAACTATTATGTAAATAATAGTACAGATGGCAAAATCACATAGCCAGAAGCACAGGGATATTACCGGAATGATTCAGTTGAGGAAAAAGTGTGCCAGTTTATTAGGTATAAATCATAAGGATATTATGTAAAGTCCTTGTTAAGGTAGGGCTAAGGTTGAAAAGTGAACTGCTTAAGGGAAAACATTAAGTAAATAACATTATAGATGACAAAATCATATAGCCAGAAGCACAAGGATATCACCAGAATGACGCAGCTGAGGAAAAGGGTCCTGGTTTATTAGGTGTAGAGTCCATAGCCAAGACCAAAGTTCCTTGTGAGAACGGGAAAGGCCAAAAGGGAATCCAAGTGGCCCGTTAGCCTCATTGAATCATAGAGATTGTCCTTAATTTACTAAAAATACCTTATTAAACAAACATTTAAGCGATCATATATTTCCCAGTGGTAAGTGCAATTATTTAAGTGTGTAATGTACTGATGTTTTAGAAACATTGAAAAGTTCTCTGCACAGTCTCTGCAGCCATAGATTAAGACTCGCCTGGGAGGCCTAGCCTCATCACACTGACTTAAAGACTGATCAGCGTTAGAAATGATAAGAATATGGCTTTAAAAAGTCTCAATCTATTCATATTGTAAATAAAGGTAAAAGATAAAATACAAATTATTGGAATTTCAGGCAGTTCTAGTTAAAGCTGTTATTTATTTCTTATAGGGGGATTGTAATTAGAAAATGTTATAAAATTTAAAAACCCTTTAAACTTAAAAGTAAAGAGTATATTTACCTTGAAAGAGCTGGCACCAAAAGGTAGCGACTTTCCATAGTATCTGTGTTCAGCAAACACCAACATAGCTTTCAGTTCCTCAGCCACATCCCACATGAACCCCTAGGAAGAATTTACAGATTCAGAGGATAAAATCGGGACATGAGAAAAGTCATTAAACCTTTTGCAAATCATATGAAATGGATGTTAAATCAGACCAAAAAGAGCTAAGAACTACATATCTTATATTCACTCTACAGATAAATGACATAATTGATGTTTCACTGTTGCACATGACTCTCACACTGTATTATAATGAAACAATTAAAAATCATTCCAAGTTGCTGAACCATGATTCATTCCAACACTCGTTATTCTGACACTCTAGCGATAGAATCAACATTCTGTTTAAAATAGTATTCAAATTGTACTGTGTGCCATACAGTGTAAGAAAATGCTGAGGATATCTAAGTTTATTGTCTACTCTTAGACATTTACAACATAAGAGAGAAAACAGTACAAATAAGCATACTGGACTCACTTGGGTTTTTATATTAATCTTATTTACTTGAAAAGAAATAGTAACTAGCAATAGTTAATAAACTGACTGCTTGCAATGTGTCAGGCACTGTTGTAAACATTTTATATATAGTATCAATTTAACTAAATTTCACAAGAATCTAAGAGCTATGCATTTTGATTATTCCCATTGTACAGACAAGGCCACTGAGGCACAAGAGTTTAAATAACCTGCCACGGTCACACGGCCAGGAAGTAGCAGCACCAAAATTCACACATGGCTCTAGAGCACAATCACCCAGTGTTGTAAGACATTCTTATTTCCACACACACTGCTGGTCATTAATCAGTCACTGCAATTTTTCACTCTTATCCGTGGTGTCCTCAGAATGATCTCAACAAAGCATTCTAGGCAGCCAACATACATCAATTAGATTTAGATTTAACATACATTAAAACTACTTGTCATCCCTACTGCAGATTTTTGTTTTTTAATGTGCTGCTCCCTAAAGAAGATTAAAAAATTCTAAAAGTTTTTGTTTTAATCAATAATGACAATTAAAAGAGCTGTATGCATGTGAAGATGGAGAATTCAACCTGGTATCTGTGATGATCTCAATAACCTCACTTCCCCTCTTAACACCCTACTCATTCCTACCATTTATCTCTAGACCCTGCAACACCCAGCTCAAGGGCATCATCCTCTGCCTGCCACACCCTGGCAGTGTGCATCACTCCCTCCTCTCAACACCACTGTGCTAGGTACAGATCTCTATTACCGAGTTGCAATATTTGCTTACATGTGTGTCTTACCCTTATCAGACTATGAGATTATTAAAGGTAAGGACCATCCATCATAGCAGTCAGACCTCTGTGGACTTGACCCCAGACATTGAGAGGAAGCAATTTATTTGAACTGATTCACATTGTAATAAGTGATTATTTGCCTTGACTTCTGGGGTATCTTTATTTTTCAAAAGAAGTCCATGTAATGTAATAACATTTAATAACATTATGCACCAGGATTGTGCAGGGCACCTGATTCTTTAAGTACCTAATAACTATATAAGCTAAACATTTTTATTATACCCATGTAACAGATGAGAAAACTGAGGCACTGAATAAGAAACTTGCCCAGAGTCACACAGCATAATGGCAAAACCAAAATTCAAACCTATCAGTCAGCTGAAGTCTTCACTCTTGACTACTATGATATCCTGCCTCTCAATAAATGACTGTCCAGAATCTGTGAATACATAATTGGAACACTTCAGTAAGTGTGAAAAGGTGTATAGGGCTGGGAAAGGACCAAGATCTGTCCTTCCAGGGTCTGGCTCTATCTAGCCAGTTCTCTGGAATGTTCCTCCTACACTGAGTGTTCCCTTCTACCACTTCTAAGGTCAGACTCCCCAACAAGCCTTCAGTTCACTGCAGTGCCAGTGAGACCAGCAGGGGCTGGGAGAGGCAGGAACAGCTCCCGGCCTATGATACAGAAGAACAGGAGCTGAGGACATCCCTGGACTGGAGAACCGGCCCTGGGGCCTTGGCATAAGGGGAAGTCACACAGAAAGAGAAAGGCAGACAAGGCAGACTCAGTTGTTTCACAGAATACCAGGGCAGGCATCTGACAGAAAACAAGTTCTGATTTCATTAGTCTCTGATCTAAGAGAATAGACATCCTAGCCTCTCATTTCTCAGGAAATTGTTTTATTTCCAGGTAACACATTTACGCCCTTAACATTTCTAAGGAAATAATCAGAAATGTGGCAGACAATAACACAGTGTAATTGGGTTTCATATCTTTACTTTCAGTTTAGTTCAGTTCAACATTTACTTAGACTTCCTGAGTACCAGGTACCATGTCAGACATTTGCAGTGGAGAAAATAGGACTTAGTCCCCACTTTAAGGTAATTCCCATCTAGGTTTTTGGTAGAACAGTCACATTTTCTAGTGGTAGCTGTGGCACATATCTTGTGTCCTTCTAAATTAAGTCTTGTTAATAAATGTAAGTATTATTATAAAATAGACAGTATGATAAAGAAAGCAAGCTAACAGCTATACCATTTTTCACTCATAAAGACAAGAGAAATGGTAAAAACAGAAAAGCTAAATTAAAACATAGCTACAACTTTATCTTTCTTTCTCTATTACTATTTGAAAATTAAACTTGTATTTTTTTTCACTTACATTGGCTTTAATCAGGTTTTACGCATTCATTCATTTAACAAATATTTATTGAGTACCTACTATATGCCTAGCAGTCCTGGACTCTGAAAGTATAATACTCAACAAAGATAGAAAAATGTGTGCTTTGTAAAATAACTATACACCATAATATTTCTGTTCCCATCTCCTTCATATCCTTGTTTACTCTAGAAAAAGTTGGAATTTATAAGAAAAATCTTTTAAAATTCAATTGTCGCGCGGGCTGGGAACCAAAGTGTCCCAGGTTCAATTCCCAGCCAGGGTACATTCCTGGGTTGCAGGCCATAACCCCCAGCAACCACACATTGATGTTTCTCTCTCTCTCTCCCCCTCCCTCCCTTCCCTCCCTAAAAATAAATAAATAAAATCTTTAAAAAAAATTCAATTGTCCAAATATAATATTTCATTCTTTTCATGTATAATTCTTTAAGGCTAAACATGCAGGCTTATTGGATAGCTGTATTTATTGTTTTGTGAACTGCCTATTCATGCTATTTTGCTGCTTTTCTATTGAATTTATTTTCTTGCAGTTTTTTAAAGAACTTCATAATTAAATACAATCATATTTGGTCATATATACTGTAAAATATCTTTCCAGCTTATAATGATAAAAGATAAACAAAGAGTAGGAACTTTACAAATCTGTACATACCGTATTATTGCAAAACCAGATAATGTCCCCTTCATTACCAGTGTAGAAAAGTATGGATCCACCCTCTTTCTGCCAGTGTTGATCAGCTAACAGGTAACGCTGTTTAAAAGTTTTATCGATCTTAAATCCAAAATGATCAACCTATGACAAAAACAAAACACATATTACAAAGAAAAGTAATTAAATGGGATCAACAAAAAAGTAATTAAATTTATTCTTCCATTAAAATCAAACTATGCTACAAAAATTACAAAAAAATTAAACTTCAACTGATTTTATTAGTAGCAATATCAATGTTGTTATTTTCTTTATATTATAACATAAAGTAATGTTATTGGTGGTCAAGATTTTCAGTATAAGAGTAAAGATACAACTATAAAATCAGTTTGCTACTTTAAAACACAATAATGTTAAAATTGAATAGGAAATACTGATGTCAACCTATTAATTTTGTAAAATTTTTATTGAATATATTGGGGTAAGACTGGTTAATAATTATGAAGTCTTCAAGTGCACAATTCTATGATACACCATCTGCATATTATACTGTGAGTTTACCACACAAAGTCAAGCCTGCTTTGATCTCCATTTATCTCCCTTTTAACCTCTTCTACCTTCCCCTGCCCCTCTTTCCCTCTAGTAATCACCATATATTATCTGTGTCTATGAGTTTTTGTTGTTTTGTTTGTTTGTTTGTTTGTTTTCCCTCACCTTTTCCGCCTAGTTCCTGAATACTGTCAGTCAGTTTTCTGTATCTATGAGTCTGGTTCTATTTTGTGAACCAATTTTTAAAACATAGCTACCCTTTCACTGAATTTTCACTATTTAAACTCTCAATATCAAAATTCAAAAATTAAACAGAACACTGACAAGGTCTATAAATACTGTCACTCTAGTAACACTTGACATTTTAAGGGCCAACAATCTGGTATCTGACTGTTGCCCACTAAAAGGAACTAAGGCTCATTTGTAACATGTCTGACTGACATTTGGGACAAGGAAGCTACGAGATAAAGCTATGCATCTTGCTGTTCAAGGAAGCAAGGAAGTGCTCAAAAAGTAATGGAGTTATGTCTAACAGACACAGGAACCAACTACAAGATATTATCATTGAGTAAAGTTTAGTGAATTGAATAGAAAACAAATTGAATGCAAATAAGAATAATTGTAATTGATTAAAATATTCAATTCATGAAAATCCTTAGTCCCTAAGCATATGAAAAAAGAGAAAGCAAGGAATATGTTCATTTGTCACCATAAGATGTCTATTAAACCAACTCCTTTGAAATTGGGAATAAAAAAGGTAAAGAACTCAACATTTAACCTGCCTTTGCACCAGAATTGTGCTTCATGGTATTAAACAATCCCAGTTGATGTAAAAGAGTTCTATTTAATCAAATGTCAGCTATTGCAGAAGAAATGACAGAATTAGAAAAATGATAGTTTTTATAAACCCTAATGAAGTTATTGATTCAGGCAAAAATTATAAAACAGCATTAAAAGCATTAGGAGAATGGATGACAGGGAAATGAACATTCATATTAGTGCCAAAGTTGTATCATAGAAAGTACTCTCTTTTCACAAAGGGAACCTGTACCTTCATAACATAAGGATCAAACTGTCATCACCTTAGTCTACTGATCAATGTGAGTCAGCGTCACTGACAGGGAGGAAGGCAGGGACTGTATATCTCTTCACATGGCACAGTGCAAAACACAAATCACCTATGATGAATTCCTGACAAAAATGTTCAACTTCATCTTACTTCAGCCTTTAGATCTAATTTCCAGTTTCCAGGAAATACACAGGGCAGAAGAACAAGCTGAAGACATTCTGGAGAGGCAATCAGAAAAATCCTAAGGTGGGACATTATACAAGAAAATGGCAAGGTAATGTCATTAAAAGAGGGCTGTTTAATTCAAAAAAACACATGTACCCTTATGTTCAGTGCAGCATTATTTACAATAATCAGAATATAAAAGCAACCCCAGTGCTCATCAATAGACAAGTGGATAAAAAAGTGGTGGTACATACATACAATGAAATATTACTCAGCCATAAAAAATGAGATTTTACTATTTGCAACAGCATGGATGTAGCTAGATCCATGCTAAGTGAAATTAGTCAGAGAGGAAGACAAATGCCATACAATTTCACTTATATGTGGAATCTAAGGAACAAAATAAACAAATAAAATAGAAACAGACTCATAGCTAGAGGGAAGAGAAGGCAGAGGGATAGTGATGACAGATGAAAAAGGTGAAAGGACTGAAAAGTACTAATTGGTAGTTACAAACAGTCACAGGAATGTGGAGTACAGCATAAGAAGTAAGGTCGGTAATGTTGTAATAACTCTGTATGGTACCACGTAAAAATATTAGGAGATTACTGTATAAAGTATATGACTGGCCACTTTGCTACACATCCAAAACAGTGTTGAATGTAAACTGAAACTGAAAATAAAATTTAAAACACTTAATAAATAAAAATAAAATTTTAAAAAGAGGGAAAGAGAATATATGATCCACTGAAGGAAACAGACTGTCTTTAGCTAGGTGATCCGGAAAAACTCAGAAGATAAAGCTCTGTGAAATATAGCATCATTCCAGCAAATGGTTTGCTTTGTTGCCACTTAAATCGTTCATCTATAATTGCTAGAGTTAAACTGCAATCATATTACAGTATCTTCTATATTTTTGTCCACTGTGGATTATTTGATCATAGTGAAATTATCCAAAAGGTAAATTTGCTTGCTTTACTACCTCAGTGGAAACTGGCATTAGACCACTGAGGGGAGTAGAATGATGGCAAGTATTGTTCCCTGGTGAAGGAGCTTTTCTCTCCTCTACATAGGGTTGAGCAACTAAGCAAGCTCCTGCTTCTGTGACTAACAACTAAATAGGAAAGGAGGAATTTACTCTGCCCACTTCCTCAAAGCATTATCCTCAGGCTTACTGGCTTCAACATGGAATCATACCTTAGTAGTTCAGTTGTCACTGATTCATATCTGATGATCATTTAGGTAGAGCTAGGCTGCTGTAGCTAAACCTTCTAAACAATATTATAAGGAAAGTATTTAAACTACTTAAGAGAATAAATTGCTTTTAAGCACTTTTAAAAAAGAGACTGTTTGGATTAAGTAAATTTTAAGAAACATAATAACCAGATGCAATGCATGAATCCAGGTTGTATCCTGGTTTGAAGAAGATATAAATGACAACTTAGAGACAATTAGGTTAGTTTGAATATGGACTAGGTATTAGATGATAGTAAGGACTTGTTAATTTTGTTAGAAGTGATAGTATTATTTTAGCTACATAAAAAAAAATTTATTTTTACAGCTGTATACAGAGGAATTTAGAGATAGAATGCCATGTTGTGTATAATTTACTTGAAAAAACTTCAGCAAAAAAGTAAATAAAATTAATTTAAAAAATTAATCTATACTGAGAAAACAAAAACACTGGATACTGAGACTTTCCAAGAAACATAATAAATAATATGTCAAAAATGGGACTTCCAGCCAAGATGGAGGAATAGGTAGACACATGCATCGTGCCTCCTTGCACAACCAAAATAGGGACAACAACAATTTAGAAACAGAATAACATCCAGAACTGACAGAAAACTGATCTGAATGGAAGTCGGACAACCAAGAAATTGAAATAGACCCGTTTATCCAGGCCGGTAGGAGGGGCAGAGTTGGGTGGCCGGGCGCAAGCTGAGGCGCAAAGAGCAGAGAGTTGGGACCAGGCGCTTAAGGCATGGCGGGGGGCACACAAGACCGCAGCAGGTGGACCATGAGTGGGCAAGCGGCAGCTGGCAGACCCTGGCCAAGATGTGGCAAATGGCAGACCCAGTGAGGCAGCGATTGTAAAGCAAGGCAGTGCGTGCAACCCAGGATCCCAGCGCTGGGAAACAGAGCCTCGGGACACTGATTGAGGACACCTGTGGGAGTTGAGGCACACGGAGAGACACCCAGCCTCACAGGAAAGGTCCTTGGAGGGTCCCACAGCGTACACAAGCTCACCCACACATAAATTGGTGCCAGAGGGGCCCAGTTTGCTCGTGGGAAGCAGCAGAAGGGACTGAAGTCTCAAGGAGAACGGAGCAAGTGCCCTAGTTCCCTCTCAACCCCACCCCCACATACAACGTCACAACCCAGCGACTGGGGTGCTCAGCCCTGGTGAACACCTAAGGCTCCGCCCCTCGCTGTAACAGGTGTGACCAGACCAAAAGAAAAAGAGAGAGAGAGAGAGATGGCTCAAACAGAAGACCAATGAAAGCCCTAGAACCCATCCTTTTAAGCAACTGAGAGATAGCCAACCTATCAGATGCACAGTTCAAAGCACTGGTGATCAAGAAGCTCACAGAAATGGTTGATTCTGGTCACAAATTAGATGAAAAAATGAAGGCTACAGTAAGTGAAATGAAGAAAAATACACAGGGAACCAATAGTGATGGAAAGAAAGCTGGGTCTCACATCAATGGAGTGGACCAGAAGGAAAAAAGAAACAACCACACAGAAAAGAATGAATGAATAAGAATTCAAAAAAATGAGAGGCTTAGGAACCTCCAGGACATCTTTAAACGTTCCAACATCCGAATTATAGGGGTACCAGAAGGGGAAGAGGAAGAGTAACAAGTGGAAAAGTTATTTGAACAAATAATAAAGGAGGACTTCCCCATTCTGGCTAAAGAAATAGACTTTCAGGAAGCCCAGGAAGCTCACAGAGTCCCAAAGAAGTTGGACCCAAGAAGGAATGCACCAAGGAACATCATAATTACATTAGCCAAGGTAAAAATGTAGGAGAGAATCCCTAGAAGCAGCAAGAAATAAGGAGACAGTTACCTACAAAGGAGTTCCCATGAGACTGTCAGCTGATTTCTCAAAAGAGACCTTATAGGCAAGAAGGGGCTGGAAAGAAGTATTCTAAGTCATGAAAGGCAAGGACCTACATCCAAGATTGCTCTATCCAGCAAAGCTTTCACTTAGAATGGAAGGGCAAATCAAGTGCTTCTCAGATAAGGTCAAGTTAAAGGAGTTCATCATCAGCAAGCCCTTATTATATGAAATGTTAAAGGGACTTATCTAAGAAAAAGAAGATAACATGTACAGTAAAATGACAGCAAACTCACAA